AAAGCAGTTTATCCATGAATTCTTAGGCAATCACAAAAATGTAAATTAAATAACTAGTGCAAAAGAAGGGTGGATCTCCTCAATTGATATTAGTAGCCAGGTACAGTCAAGCAAAAAATCTGTTTATATATACAAAGGGGAAATTATAGAACAAGGTGTCTGAACATTTGAGTTTATCAGGTTATTTTTAAGGGGATGCAGCTTATAATACAAGTAGTACATAATGTTGCATGGTTCCAAATCCATCCTCATTATAAGGTACCACAAAATATTAGCTGAATGTTATGAATCCATTACACATGGGCCAAAACCTGCTCTCCTTGCTCACCTGAGTAGGCCCACTAATGTCAGTGGAATGACTCGTGTAAGTAAAATCAGCAGGCTTTGGACGAATATTCTACTTTTGAGACAGATATTAAGAATGTTTTTATAACAGACATTTAATTTTTACCAAATAAAGAATTGTATCTGTTAACCAACAGTTTAAGATCATTTGTACTATCTATATTATTTTGACTTTCAGAGGTGAAGAATGATTTTCTGCAGCCATACAATATGAGAAATTAACAGAAACCACTCCAAATGTTCAACTTGATGCGACAATAACTATATAAAACCATGCATAAAAATGACAGCATGTCCCACTTTCTTCTGTCATTTTAATAATCAATGATTTGATGACATTTTCATTAATCACAACTTTCTCCTCTTCCATTGCAGCCTATCAATAACCTGAGACCAAAATCCTGTGCTCCCTCAGAAAGAAACTCACAATAAGAAGGTATACTTCATTTTTTTATTGTCTTTCATCCAGAAGAATCATAAAGCATGTTATATGCTATATATGTGTATCATTTTCCTAATTGCTGGAATGCAGCTACTTCTGGTTTGGAATGCAGCAGCTCTTTCGCAGTGCCATTTACACTATTACAACATTTTAAGACAGAAAATGAAGAAATTTATTTGCACTGTTGAAATTACAATGTGAATTTAGGCAGATGGAGTGTAATTATCCTAATTGGAATTTGACCAGGACACCAAGGCTAATAACTCTGGGTGTTGCAAAAAGTGCCATGGGTCTTTTAATGACCACAAGGGTCAGGGACCCTGTCAGCATAATGGCTTTGTGGCTAATCACAAGAACACACTACTGATCTATCCTCTGGAATGAAAAGTTATTGGCAGCGTCATCCTTAAACCTGAGCAAGCAGACTGAAAAGTCTGTAAACAACTTGAAGGATCCAAATAGGAATAGAAACACCCAGAAACAAGAACCACATAACTCTACGGGCTAAACAACACTCCATCAGACACATATTAGGGTCCAAAATATTCAGCTGCTCTATTGCCAGTTCTGTCATTTATAAAGCTGGTCTCTTCAGTGGTATTACACTTGCCCCTCCCCTCTCTCTGTCTCTCCTTTAAAAAAAAAAGTGAAATTGCCAGGGTCCAATTCAATCTACTCAAAATTGACTCATTTGTTCAGTAATGTAAGAGCTGGTGCAGGTGAGATTTATTACTGGCGGATTTATTTTGTGTCCAATAAGAACTGTTCTTGTTCCAGGTTAGCATTTTGAACTATACATAAAGAGAGAGCAAAAGAGGCAGGAGGACGCATGATATTTGACGCTGTCTTTAAAAGATGAAAGATGAAGGTCCTTCTGGTCAAAGTGTGTTTTACCAGAAGTCACTTCACCTCTGTTTCCCCCTTCTCACCCTCTGTCTGTCTTGTCTACTTAAATGGTGTGACAGTCTGTGCTCTTATGTTCACTCTTTTTACAAGTCTATGATAAATTTTGTACAAAGCTCTTTGGGACCGGGACTGACTTTTACTATTTGTTTGTGCAGTGCTTAGTGCAATGGGGCCATGATCTCAGTTGGGGCTTCTAGGCGTCACTATAACATGACTATTCATAATCAAATTTTAAAAGAATCAGAGAATGTTCAGCCAGTCATATGTTCATTTAATTGGAAAACTTTCTGACACCACATTTAGGAAATATAGGGGACTAAACTAGAGATGATGTGTAAAGTGATGTAGATTGTCAGTGAGTCCAAAAGTATAATTGGTGGAATTTACTCCCTGAGAGGCCAGCAAAGAGCAGTGTAGCAGGAAAAGCTAATGAAAGTTAAAGTAGAGCCACTATTACCTAATTTAATGTGCACTTTATTCTGGCTCTTCAGCATGTAAGCTACACTGACCGACCACCTTTAAACTCATTTACGTCTTCTTTTGGATCTGTAACATACTCTTACACACTTCTGAATGTGGCCCATGGTTTGTCGGCAAAGAACCACTTATTTATAATTGGTAAAAGAGAAGTTTTAAAAAAAATTTATTAGATACAAAAAAGATAAAAACTTGGGTGTTCTTTTATAAGAATGCTGATACCACAGAAATAAACAAAGTGGAATTATTCAGAGGAGTTATTCATATTTAATAGATTATTCATATAATAAAATAGAACTTTGGAACAGTATAACCATCACTTATTGTTATACACTGTCAGTTTGATGAACAGCATCAGACATTCCTTATTGCAACTCCCATTGATTGCTCTATGGACAATAAAGTGTCCAACTTTTCTAGTTTAGGAAAATGTATGTGTACCTATATCACAATCATGTAGTAATTCAAACTATCAACTAGTCTCTAAATTTGGTAGTTAAAATAACTGCTGAATGGGTATAATTTTGGCACTATATACCTACAGTCTCTTGATCTGAGAAACTGTTATGAAGTTCACACTCATGCAAAGGGGTTTATTACTGTATAAAATGCATGAACTGGGCCTAAATATTATACCTTATGTTAGGAATGATGGGGTGTAATTGTAACATTTGGTCATGAAATGTGATAATGAACTGCATTTGTTTTGGAAAGCATTAGCCATAATCAGATATTTGAAAATGATATCACCTTACAACCTACATACTCACCTTACATGATAGCATCTATTAAACCCGAAATTTTACTGTTTTGGCTATTATTTACACCTAGAAAAACGATATTCTATCAGTTTTCACGCAGTAGTTGAATACAGTGCTGGATAACCAAGATCGGAAATGGTGGTCCTAAATTAAAGGGACACTACCAACTAAATCCTCAATCCTGCAGACAAATGCATGTGAGTTATTTCATGCATAGGCATAGTCCCATTGACCTATGGTCCTTGCACAACCATACCTGATTTCAGTGGAAGTTTTGGGAGATGCTAGAAATGCAGAATTTGAAACCCTTATTATATATCTACAATGCCACAGTTTAAAGGGACACTGTTGACTTCAGTGGGATTACTCGCACATGTAAAATTACTTGCATTAGTATTTGCAGGATCAAGGCCTTAAAAATTACATTTCTGTGTGAAGAGGTTTCACCAACTGTTTTTATAGATAACACCTAAGATTACTTATAACTGAAAAGATTAGAGAAAAATGTTTTCTGGTTTTTGTCCATTGGACAGCACATTGTATATTCTCATTTTCATTACTTCACCCACACAGTCAATGAGAGAGTCAGTTTCCCCTTTTTGTCTGTGTGATGAGTCTTTCAGTCAAAATAAATGGAGAGAAAAACATTTCAATTTTTTAAAATGTGGCTATAAAACCACAAAAATTGGCAGGAGGGATCACGTAAGTGTAGTATATGAAACTACTTTAAATTCCTTTTTTAAAAAACTGGAAAGATTGAAGTCAACAGTATCCCTTAAAATTGTGGCAGATACATAAGATAAGGATTCCAATCTCACAGTTCTAGCACACCCCAAAACTTCCTCTAAAGTCAGGTTTGGTTGTATAAGGAATACAGATTCAGGTGCAATAAATGGGAATGTTTAAAGCATTTGGTGAACACTGAAGTCTTTTAGTTGGTGGAAGTAGTCATATTAATACAGTTTAAATTGTTGTTCGGTATTATGTAATAATGATATATGTCAGGAAAAACTGGTTCCTTTATGTATGCTTATTTTTTAATAGTTACATGCATCCACTTGTCCTGATCTCTTAAAACCTATGCAGGTAGTTAGACCTATTGAGCTAAATGTAAAATAAATTGTGCTTTTTGCGGGATTGGGACCTAGCATCTCATTCCTGCAACTGCCTCCATGTGGTTGGCCCCTTGGGTATGTAGGGGCCTAGGTTTGCATTTATATATGACACTGCAAATATGCTCATTGAAAATATTCTTAAAACTAAACCATGGTAATTTGAACTAAAGCTTTTAAGTGGTTCATTTGTATAGTAGACTGGATTCTGATATAAAGCATGCTATACATTCTGAGTCCTTTATATTTGTTTAAAATGGGGATATCTGGAAAAGAGTACATCTGTAATTTCTAGAAGCCACATTTAAAAAAAAATCACATTTTTGCTTGCAATAAAGATGTTTGTAATGTTTTAAACTAATTTCTGGTAATATTGGTTTTTGAATTTGTCATTGATGTTTTTTTAAACCCTACTTAGTCTACATGTGTGTAATGTTCACTTTTTAATAATGATTTGCTCTTCTGTATCTTGTGCTATTAAAGATTTCTTTTAAAAATGCTAACATAATTTGAAAAATTACAGCAGCTTCTGTACATCCTTATTAAAGGCATAAGTAGTATGCTATGGCGAAAAATCCCCTCAAAAGGAATTGTAGTGTTTTTTTTAAAAAAACAAAAACCATAGCTAAGGGGCTGAGGATTTTCCGTGGATGTGCTGAGGCATTTCATTCTCTCATGTTGCTGATACGCCCCTTTTAATCCCATGCAAAGGAAATGAGAGAAAATCTGTGAGCAAATGCGACCACCACTAAGTATGAGGCAGTTTGCTTGATGGAGTTTAGATACAAATACAGGTAGGGGAGGGAAATGACACACTGCAGCAATCTGCCCATTATTGCTACTCCCTTCCCCCCCCCCCCTCCCGGAAATCTGTTTCTTTCTCTCCCTGGCTTTCCTATAATTCTCCCCCTCAGCCAGATCGGCTGGATGGAGATAAACCCTCAGGGGAGGCAGACAGGGAGGAGGCAGATCCTCGCACACAGAGGGAGGGATAGGACGCTGCGGCGGCGACTTTGCTCTTTAAATTGGGCTCAAAGCCGATTACAGCTGATCTCCCACGTGACGTTTCCCTTTCTGGCTCCCGGCGGAGTTTGTTGGGGGATCCTCGCAGGCTCGGCGCGTCTCTCCCCGCAACGGGGGCAGCTCGGGCTCCGCGCGCAACTTTTTTGGCCGGGGGTAGGAAGGGAGAGGAGAGACCGCGAGTCTGACTGGCCGCTCGGGATGCTTCGCCCGGTGCCTGAGGGTTAGCGCGGGGCGGTGGCGCCGGGAGCCCCTCGGAGAGGCAGAGCAGCAGCTCTGGAGGAGCCCCCCAGAGGGAAGCAGCAGCACCAAGCCCGCGAGGACAGCACCAGCCCCGACTTTCCCACCCGCAGGCCAGGCAGGAGCAGCCGCGGCGCTGAGCCGCATCCCGCAGGCGGGAGAGCAGCCGCGGGACCCCGCCAGCGCGTCCCGGCCGGAGGGGCCCAGCGCTGGTCCCGCCTCCTCCGAGAGCAGCCCCCAGCCGGGCGGGCGGAGCGCCACGGCCAGCAGCTGGCCGTCGGTGCGGGCACAGCCCATGAGGCACCGTCGCGGCTCGGCGGGGCTGTGAGCGCCCGGCGGCAGTTGCCTTATGCGGGGTAGGGCGGGCGGGCAGTGAGGAGGCGGCGGAGGCCAGCCCGCTGCCCAGGCACCATGCAGAAGAGCGTGCGCTACAACGAGGGGCACGCCCTGTACCTGGCCCTGCTGGCCCGCAAGGAGGGCACCAAGCGCGGCTACCTGAGCAAGAAGACGACGGAGACCAGCCGCTGGCACGAAAAGTGGTTCGCGCTCTACCAGAACGTGCTCTTCTACTTCGAGAGCGAGCAGAGCGCCCGGCCCGCCGGCATGTACATGCTGGAGGGCTGCAACTGCGAGCGGGCGCCGGCCCCCAAGGGCGCCTCCGCCGGCAGCGCCAAGGACACCGCGCTAGACAAGCAGGTACCGCCAGCTCCCTTCCCCACTCATCCCATATGCACGGGGCTTCTCTCTGGTGCGGTCTGCCCCCGCCCTCACCATAGGCTCATTCCCCCCAACCGAGCCTCCCGCATCCAGCGGCGCTCCCCGAGCTATTTCCTTCGGGTTTCAACATGGACCGTAGGGTGACCAGATAGAAAGTGTGAAAAATCGGGACGGGGGTGGGGGGTAATAGGTACCTATATAAGAAAAATTCCCAAATATCAGGACTGTCCCTATAAAATCGGGACATCTGGTCACCCTAATGGACCGGGAACACCCGCTGCCGTTATTCAGCTCTCCTAGGTGGGTGGAGGGGGTCACTAGACTAATCTAAAGTAGCGGTGCAACTCAGAGTGAAAACGCGTATGCCTTGTAACTAGCCTCAGAGGGGCTGCGCACGGCAGTAGAAACCTAGGAGCATAGGAACTGCCACCCCAGATCCAACCCGTGGGTCCACCCATTCCAGTATCCTTCCTCTGACAGTGGCTGTTTCAAGAGATCTTGCCTTGTGCCCTGAAGCATGGGCGTTTATCTCTTCCAAACTCTTTTTTTTAATGACCCTAAGATAACTCTGGATGTCCTCATTGTGCATATAAACTAGGGCAGAGTCATGTCCCCGGTCTTTTAGCTGGCACATCTTCCCAGTAGTTGCACTTACATGCTTTATACGAGGTGCCTGAGTATTAAAATGTCATGAACTAATGATATTCCACTATTGAGCAATTACAGCCCGGGCACCCCAAGAGAGCCAACCTAAACAGATAAAGAATTCCGGGATAAATGTGTCGCAACAATGTGTATGAGCCTTAAAACTAATCAGATTCCATTTTTGGGCAATGGCAAACCCTGCTAGTCATATAATGAAACCTATTCTAAGAAGCTACTGGAAGGACCAAGAAAAAGTAGACATAGTCAATTTATACTATGATGTACGCACCATGCAATCCCCAGTGGAAGGGGGTTGTAATGGGGAATAAATCAGACCAATATTTGTGAAATGTTTTTAAGGCTGAACAAAACTGTAATGGAAACTAAATCATGAAACTTTATAGTCCAGTCCTGCATTTCCTTACTTATTCAACAAAACCAGAGACTTCAGTGGGATCACTCATGGGAGTGAAGGACAGCTCCTGTATGGTAAGAGTTGCAGGATCTGGTCCCTAAAGTGGACACTTCTTAAGCTATGGGGTATTGGGTTTTTGTTTGTTTTTGGCGTGTTGTTGAATATCACATACATCTTTCAAAACAATGAATAAGAGGACACTGCACTTACGCTATATAGTAATGAATCAGATGTTCTAGTCAAGGTCTCCTCTATTTTAGGATAATGCACCTGATGTGAAACTCTGCTGTCCTTTTATTCACTTCTTTGCTGACATACATTAAACTTGCATGTGGCATGTGCTGATTCATCTGTGCTTGACAGAAGATATCAACAGGTGTCAAACTGGTTTGGAGAAGTTTGGTTACTTCCAAAAAGGAAGGTGCCAGGTGAACTCAGGCATTTGTTATGAGAGAGGAATAAATCTTTCTCAGCTTATGAAAATCTTCTAGTCCATTTACTATGTTTAGATTGATATATGTGTTAGGAGAGCTAAATTCAGAAAGCATCTCCTCTTTTGCTGCCTTGTCTTAACTTTCCATTTATTTATAGTCCTTTTGGCATTGATATTTTCATGCTTATCTAACTCACCCAACATCTATAGGTAAAAATATACCTAGTTATGCAAATTAACATATGCACATTGGGATGACTAATAGAACTCTTTTGCTTGCTTCTTTGATGTATAATCTTGTCAGGGTGGGTAATTGAAGTGTATGGGAATCCCTGGTTAAAATAAACATTTATTCCTTAATGTTAGTCTTCTAGGACTCTCCACCCCAATCTTTTCATGGGTTTACTGTCTTATGTTTCTATAACTAGTGTTTTTAAAGTGCATAGAAAACTATGTGAAAACAGCACCTTTTATGTATCTCCTCTTTGGGTATCTTTAAGTCATGCTTATTTTACTGACAGAAACAAAGTGTTTTTTTTAAAATGCATTTAGCACTACAAAATTATAGGAGAGCAAGCTGGATTCTATCCTGCTTTAAACATCAACTAAATTGCTAAGTTGTGTCAGCAAAAATGCTTATTGAAGATTTGAGAGGGAGAAAGAATACAGATAGAGTTTTCAGATCCTGGTTTGAGTTTGCAAGACTGGCAGTTAGAAAAATTCTTCTTTAGCCTGTAAAATGAACAAACCTGATATGGAGTTATTGAAAGTAATAAATATGGAGCCCTATAATATCACTTTATTCTCAGTACCTCCTTAAAATCATTTAAACTCTCTTCCAAATGTGGTAAGTATCCATACAGACACACATGTGTGTGTTTTAGGGTTGCCAACTTTGATTTAAGCTATTCCTGGAGATTTTTCCCCCTAACATGACGTAATGTCATTTTCTTAAAATAGCCTATTAAAATCTTATGCATTGCTTTCAATAGTCACCTGGAGATCGATGCCAATTCTGGGAGACTCCAGGCCAATCCTGGAGGGTTGGCAACCCTAGTGTGTTTTCTAAGAATTACAGTTATATTTTTCAGTTTGAAACAAAACAAAAAAGTATTTGAAAACACATTAAACTGGTACAATGCTTCTGTTTTCTTTTTCTTTCTCGAGGCACCTACCTTGATGCACCCATCCTATTAGAGGGAAAAAAATAATACAACTGAAAAATCTGAGCCCTCTGTTTTCATAAAATACGAATATAAAGTTATTTGAAACAGATGATAACGAAGGTTCAGCATTTAAACTTTCACTTCCACCTGTGCAAGGCCAGCTTCACCAGAAGTATTTGTTGCTTCCATGAGCAGATAAAATGTTGTTTGGTGATTTAAAAAGAATTATTTCCCTGGCAGAGCCTTGTTCTCCAGAAGGGGGAGAAGAGAAGATTTAAAAAAAACATCACCTCCTTCAAGAAAAGGTAGCTTATCTTACACACTTAGTTTACCCGGGAAGCTTAGATACTACAATGATAGGTGTTATACAGTATCCTAAATTAGTGTGAGGTGTGGGGACAGTTTTTTAATCCCTAATTCATTTATGACATCTTGCACTTATGCTTTGGTTTGTCTATTTAGATTTTATCTTACTAGGTGATTTAGGGTTAAAGCAGGTGGGTAACTGCAATAGACCATGAAAAAGAGAAGTTGGAGTATGGGATGTCATGACAAAAATAGTGAGATGCATCAAAATGAGTAAAAATTCTGGATCGTTTCAAGGAGGTTGTAGTACAGTATATAAATGGAAGCCTTTTTAAAGATTAACTATTTTGCTGCTGAGGAAAATATTTCTATTTAAGTTATTTCACTGGATATTGCATTGAAATAGTAGAAAGTATGTTCAATACCATGGGAAATATGCATTTGCGGTGCATGCAGCACCTCATGTGGTTTGCAACAACTTGCTGATTAATACATTTATCATTCAGTCAATGACAGATGAAGTTGCAATGTACATTTGTCAAAGGAATTTGTTTTCTATCAGTTCTACTACTGTGGATTATAGAAGATGCATGCAAAAGAAGAAACATCTGTTTCATTTTTCTTTTAGTTATTTTGCATATCCTTTTGATTTAGAAATTGAATTGATAGTTTTGCTTGTAATGTCATGTATCAGATAAGATCTTTGGAGTTAAGTTTTCAGCAGGGAAAATATCAGTGTTGGTGAATTTCAGCAAGCAAATATGTTTATGTGCAGATGTGTAAACACACACTCCCTGACCCCCATCAAACACAAGCAGCTTAAAGATTCCACATTTTAACCAATACTAGTGCTGTTAGGCTCTTCCACCAATCTGTCACAGAGGATTATTACACAAGGACAGTAACTACTGTACAATTTCTAGAGTATACTGAATGCCTTCAGTTTAATGCTCCACTTTTTATTATAATGTATTAGAGACTTGTGGCATTGTTCTAATAATTCTTATATTGTGTATGCAATTTTTATGGCTCTTGCCTAGTGATAGCAGTGGGAGGACTTTTAAAAAATATTTTTCCTCCTGTTTCAATACAAATTATTTTAAAAGTGTAGTTCCTGATTCAATATTAAAGAAACTATCTAATCCATGAATAAATGAACATTCAGTTGTGTTTATAATGACCTTTTATGGAGCTTTTAACTTTCCACAATATATTTTGAGCTCAAAACTTTGAATTTTAGAAGAGCTTTTTGATAAATAACTTCTGCACATGAAAGTCATCTCCATCTATTAAATCCTATTTAAAATTAATTTTAAAACAGTTTTATTTAAAACATGATAATATAGAAATAGCTTAGTTTGTAAGCCACCAATCTGAATGTAAAAATATTACACATTGAAAAGTTTAAAGTCTGATTTAAGTTAAAATATTTCTTTCCCACCCCTAATAGAACGACAAGCCATAAACCAGAAACAGGTGCAGCTCCTGGCGTGCCAATACTTCACTATGAGGCGGTTTTGAGAGAAAATATCTATTTATGTTTCAGAGTGTCATTAAAGAAAAATTACTTTATATCTGTGAGTGATTAATCTCTTTACAATTAAAATGAAACACAACTATTCTTCAATGCCTCACTAGAGAATAGAACTTGTGGTCCAGTAAACTCATTCAATTTAGAGAAAAAGGGCTTTATGGAAGTATGGATATTGAATACAAGTTATTCTAAATAGTCTATATTGGGCCAATACCTATATAATTACAGTTTGTTTCATAACTGTATATGGATTAAGCTCAACATTTAAAATGTAGTTTTATATCATTGAAAAAAATAGAATCTTAGAATATTTTAAGCTGTTAGCTTTTCTATATGATTTAAGAAAAGTGGGATGACTCTTTTCTTGTACCTTGTCTGAAATAATATTTTTCCCACTTAACAAAATTAAATGCAGGACTAAGTCTGTGTCCCCACAGATTAAGAAAATCCAATTATTAGAATTTTTACTGTTGCCTGTAG